CGTATAATTCTGGCTTATTTATATGTCTGTGCCATACGTTACTTTTATTAAGTTAAAGTAAATTAAGTTAAAATTTTCCAATTTAGGTTTATACCTTGTGCTAATTTTTGGACATCTTTCAAGCGGATTAGGAGCACGCATAAGACATCATCGCCGTATATCTCGCACGCTTTGGTTTTACTACACTGACATACCATTCTGTCATTGTTATTCTCTAGGTCAGCGATGTGGTACCTATTTTTTGGCTAGTTGGACAGTGGGGTGAATTTTTTGCTCAAGAGAATTAACAGTTAATAAGAAAAAATTTAAGCCGCACGTTGGCTTTGAACTCGCATTCTAGGGTGCTAAGCAACCTGCTAATCCGTCGTACTCCTGCATCTCCAATGATGATATCTGTAGCCGCGCTACTACGACGTTTCGTCGCACTCTTCTGGCTGAATCACACAGACGTATTACCATAATCTGGATATTTCCATAGTCAGTCAGCTGTTTCTCAGCTGGTGGTACTAGTACCCATTATGTTCAGTTCTTGACTTAAGCAGTTCATCACAAAAATAATACCTTTGTCAGGTTTCAGCTATCTACTTATCATAGCGAATGATGCGGTATCTTCTATATTTCCTGACTTTTCTTGCTACGGAAGTGAAATTAATGAAAATTCATTGCAGTGATAACTCGTCCATTTCTGGATTCGGTAAATAATTGGCATAGCGTTCAAAAGAAAGCAGCTTAGACAAAAACAAACTGTCCCTTGTGAAACTCGAATATGGAAAACTGGAGCTCAAGCGAGAATAGTGCAACAGGGACATGGGAAGAGCATAATCTCCTGTGATAAATGTGCAGAAGTCATCAGCTAAAGAAACTCGGTTGAACGGACATGGCAAAGATGCAGTCTTCTTCTAGCCTGCCGCAGTCTCAACTGGGAGGACGACATGAACTCAGTGCTATTACCCCTCGTCTGAAAGTTATTACAACAGCAGTTTAGATCGATTCAGCTCTAACCAGTTGCTTCAGGCAACAACTTCAGCACCCATCAAAGACTGTTAGCCTCCACTCGAACAAGATCCTTGAGATGCGGGCCTAAACGTCGGTAGAGTAACAACTTCTTGTAGCAACTGTTTTGTGTTGTGTTTAAATGGCGTATCTTTAAGCTGCATTTCAGTAAGCAAACATGAAAAAATACTTCAATATTTGTTATTTTTGACTTGACATAATTGTGAAATTGTATTTTTTCTCACATTCCACTGCATCAAAGAGGAAGCCGGCTGTCGCTCAATCATTTTACGTAGATCAGATAAATGCATTGCTCAGTGTTCTGTTCCTTCGATGCCATGTCAGTTCTAACAAAATCTTTCCACCCTGTTGGAAATCCTCCTTGCGGTCGTCTGCCATCAGGTTCTTGTTCAATACTCGCTTGTCTCGGTTGCTTTCGTTCATTCACTGACAGTGGCCCCCATCTTAAACTTTTCGTTTGCAGCTAGTGGGCAGTTTTGGCTAAATGTTCTAATATCTGTCATTTGCAATGGCATCTGACACCACCTCTTCACTCCTGATATTGATCTTGAAATTTTTATCTCCGTCGCTTTCCAATCGTTTGTTTTCAGCTTCATTTGTATCAAACGCTGACATTTCCCGACCTTTACATACGCAGTTTTGTGCCATTGTCAGCATCTTTGTCCTTCCATAACTTCAATTATTTTTTATTCTCAGCTAATGTGCGCCTACGTCGTTTGTCGCTCGTCCGTTTGCAGTCAACATATTCTCAAGATTCTGACGTTCTGGGATCTTTTCCACATCTTCGGTATCATGGATCAGATAGTCTTTAGTCTGGGTTCTACCCAACTGGGCTAGAAAACTGGTTAAACTGATTGACGAAACTCAGCTTCAATACCATCAGATAATCAGTTATAACGTCAAGCGACTTATTACGATTTATTTAGATTTTCCCGTTTCTGCTTTCGACGGTCGGAAACGGTTCATCATAAGTACGACCTCATGGATCGGTGGCCGAAATCCGTTTTTGGGAATCGCCTATTTGGTCGTAGGTTCAGTTTGTATTGTGATGGGCCTCACGTTTCTAGGGATTCATGTGAAATTCGGAAGATCGTGAGTTTATTCTATTAATGTTTTTCGCGAGGCATATTTTATTCTCTTGTTTTTAGTCTGACCGAACTGGCTACCATCGGGGGACATTAGACGAACGATGAATCAATGAACGTAAAATTACTGTACTGTTTATGCATTTCTCAGTTCATACATCGATTCTCTTCGCTCGCTCAGGTCTTTCTATGCCCAGATGATTTGTGATATTTTGTGAACAGTCTTTATCATACTAAATATGAATTATTTGTCTTTAAATCAATCATTGCTATACTGTTTTATATATCCAGTGCTGGTGTCATTTTAAAGTTTCAATGGCTGTCGTGATTGTCGTGCAAACGACATATGTGCATATGTTAATAATTGTCTAACGC